ACAGCTTGAGCCTAAGTGTGTCGCAGGATACCCTCTAGGTGATAGTTCTTGATTACTTTTTGATAAATAATTCGTTCTTATTGTAAAATAGGAGCTCTATTTATCAATCTGTAATAAAAGACGTGAGAAAATTCTGTCTTTTTTAAAGACAAAAATTTTTGAGGCGAAATACCCAAAAAGAAATTTGTAAAAAATAAAAAATAATTAAGTTTGGAAAATGTCAAAGATCAATATTTTTCCAGCATTTAGCAGTCAAAAGTCTATTCCATCAATGCAACAAGGCATTTTTGATTTTTGAAGTTCAAAATTCGGTTTCAATTTCGCGTTTCCATATGCAGGCCGAAGTTCAGAATTAACTTGCGCGGAAAATACCGAAGGTACAAACAACGTTTTTCTTGCGTTTAGTAGTGAAAAGTCTGTTCTACTAGTACGACAAGTTTTGATTTTGGACCATCAACAGGCACTTTTTGGTAAAATTTCAAAATTGCGTTTAAGATTTCCGAGTTCTTGTGCATGCCGAAATTCATTTTATTTATTTGCACGGAAAATGTAATATTTTTTTGCGTTTAGTATTGAAAAGTTCATTCTCTTGGTGCGACGTCCGAGTCTCTATGAAAAATTGATGAATTTACGGTAATTCTCTTGTTGGTTTCGTTCTATCCAGACGATTTTAGTTGAAAATCAGTACCAAGTCAAGGGGTTGAAAACAATTTTTCGAAAAAAGCATTGACAAACAAAACGGGTAATTTTCGGAGAATAACCCATCCATATGGTACTGATTTTATGCTGAAATTCGCCCAAAAATCAAAAAAATCCACCAAAAATTCCCAACGTTTCATAGTAAGGGAAATTAGTTAAATTTTCGCTATTCCTTATATGAACCACATACTAATTGTAACTTTGTCTGTTCAGTTTAGGGTCATTTAATATTTTGCGATAATCAGCCAAACAAAATCTAGCAATTTATACGCTGGGGCCGCGCATTTTCCTTAAAGTACTGAAGGCAGTACAACTTTCCTCCGTTAAAAATTCCCTCACATCAATCACAACCCCCCTCAAATTGGAAAGGAAAACTTGGTTTCATTAACTCCCACTGCGCACGTCAAAATTAAAAAATCTCCAAAGACCCACGAGAAAAATGCATACAACTTATGCATTACTTACGGAAGAGAACTTTCTATAATGAAACCCATGAGATCTGCTTACGCACTATCTTATAAGTTGTTCAAAATGTTGTCTATTTTTCTATAAACAATAATAAAGTCTATTTTCGAACCCTCCCTAACATTGATAAGATATTCACGGATAGATCGATTGGCAAGGGGGGCCAATTGAATCGCCTCCAAGATCACCGGATTGAACACCCTTAGACTTCTTTCTTTTGGGACATCTTAAGTCCATTGTTTATAAAACACAACTTACTGATATTGATGATCTTAAAAGGCGAATTGCAGCAGGATGCCGGTCAATTCCCGGTGAAGTTTTCCGAAATGTTAGGAAGAGTTAAAAAAATAGACCTTACAAGAAAATTGACAACATTTGAACAACTTATAAGATAGTGCGTAAGTAGATGACATACGTTTTACTGTAGAAATTTATTTTCCGCATATAAAAAGTTATTTTTGTCGATGTAAAATAATCAATAAATAAGAAACAAGATCAAAATCAATTTTTAAACTAGTTTTTCTTCCTGGTATTCAACGATTTTAACAGTGTAACAACCTACTCTTCTAATCATCTGTATTACAAGGAGACCCAATAGACAACCTGAAAACCGATATCTGAATGCACGCAAATTTAATTGTTTCTACAACTTTGAAAGGCGATTATTCGGAAACCTCTGGACAAAAAGCAATAAATGTAAAGAGAATTGAACACCCTTTAAAACTATGTGCCACTTGACCCCCTTTCCATTTAAGATTCTAAGGGTGACATCTACCAGTCCTAGGAGGTTGAAACAAGAAGGCTAAATTATTTATTTAAAGTGTCCCCCTTACAAATAAAATTGACGGGTTTTTCCGATTTTTCATATTTTCAACTGCAAGACATTCTGTATAGGTATATCAAAGATAAATTAGAAAATATGATTACGAAAAAACAAATATTGTTGCAACACTAGTCAAATATTCATTTCATAGCAAAATCTTAAAGTGTCGTGACACAATGTATGTCTCAGAAAATTATTAGGAACAAAATTATAATAAATATATGGTGATGAATGAATGAAATAAATTTCATCATATTCTCTAATCAATGTAGAATCCATCTACCCAAAAGTTAGTTATGAAGAATTGAAAAATCTAAGAAATAGCCTGTTTTGTGTTATAAGGAAAACTAAAATTAATAACCCACAACACCAGAACAAAATTAATAAAATTAATGGTAATTCAAATGGCGAGAATCAATTAATATAGGAGAATGATCTTACTCAATTTCACATGTTCTAGTAAAGAGTCGTTTAGTTAAATTAATTGATTCAGTTCCGCTAATTGAATGTTTTTTTTCTCGCATGCAAATTTCAAATGAGTAATTTCCTACTGTATAATTGTAGGCTCATATCTGCATTCTACAGGGCATTTTTTTCGCTTACATTGTCATACAAGTAATCATATTCGGAATTAAATTTTCCGACAAGCGTACATACCTTTCATTAAATTGGACATATCAGATATCACATTTGGCGTACCTACATTTACTAACGGCGAGAAAATAAGAACTTATTGCATCTACCTTGAAATAATCGGAACTGCCTTATACGCTCAATGCCAATATATGTATATCTTGGCCAATGATCTTGCAATTGGGTAACATTTTCCTGCCCGACACTAACTTTTGAGAAATGCATCTAAGAATTGATCAAGGACGTTAATGAAATGAGACATTTATTTGAAGAAATAAAACATTTTAACCATTCATGCATTCTTGGAAAAATGACGGATGATGGAATGGTACTTTTTATAGCCTGAGCTGATCTTTATCGTTTGTGTGAACTATTGTTTTTAACTGTTTGTAAAATTTCCTTCACTTGCATATAAATATCGATAGGATTTCATTTTTTTTCCATTTCTTATCTTTTAACTTTCTTAAGGTTTTGTTGGATGAACAGTTGTTTTTGCATTTAAATAAATAAAACGACATTCTAGAGTAAAAACCCATAGAATAAAATAGGGTGAGGTTGCATATAATATTTTATTATTATGTATGTTACAAACCTTACAAACCTGAGAATCGAACGACCATGCGACCCGGTAACCAGATTGACCATGTCTTGGTGGACGCAGTGTCCTAGACGTAAGAAGCCTTAGAGGAGTAGACGGAGATACAGAGCATTTTCTGGGAAAATCGAAACTCCAAATCAGAATATCGAAAAACCAAAAAACTCATCAGACCACAAAATGAAACATAGAGAAACTACATAATTCAGCAGAACAATAAAGAATACGAACAAAAACTATAATAGCAGCTCATTGAGAATGAAAATCGCACATTGGATGTTGAAGATTTGTTGAAATATATTGAACAAACGATGAAAAAGACAGCAGAAAAAAGCCATCGGGACAACCGGAAATAAACTTTTAGAAAAGCCATGATTCAGTACGATATACCTGAAAGCCAAGAAAAATATGCAAACTATCGTAAAAAAACAGGAAGTTCATAAAAAGACAAAGACAAAAATATGAACGTCGAAAATACAGAAACATGCCTAAACCAGCTTCTAGGGAATTTTATAGGGCAATAAAAAACGAAAAACGAGGATATCTTGTTGTCGATGTTGAAACGCGCTAATGGAGACATGATAATTAACGATCACGAACAGTTGGAAACATGGAAAAACTACTTTGA